GTGAGTGAGTGAGAGGGAGTGTGTGTGAGTGAGTGAGAGGGAGTGTGTGTGAGTGAGAGGGAGTGTGTGTGAGTGAGTGAGAGGGGGTGTGTGTGAGTGAGAGGGGGTGTGTGTGAGTGGAAGGGAGTGTGTGTGAGTGAGAGGGAGTGTGTGTGAGTGAGGGGGAGTGTGTGTGGGTGAGGAGGAGGGTGTGTGAGTGAGAAGGAATGTGTGTGAGTGATGGGAATGTGTGTGAGTGAGGGGGAGTGTGTGTGTGGGTGAGTGAGAGTGTGTGTAGGTGAATGAGAGGGAGTGTGTGCGTGGGGGTGATTTTTTTCCGGCGAATTTTTTTTCAGACGAGTTCATAATTCGGGGATCTGAGATGCTAGAAAGCTGAAATCTTGGGGCGATGCTCCCCGTCCAACTGGATGTTGATGCATAGAAAACCATCCCCCGAGTAAGCGTGTAGTCGCGTATGGGCCCGCTGAAATCTTTCACGGATAAGTTCATAACTCGGGGACCTGAAGAGCCTGAACGCTGGAATGTCGGATGGGTGTTCCTTATCCAAGTAGATGTTGTTGCACAGAAAAGCATACTCTAGGTAAGCATGGTACCCGCGTGCGGGCCCGCCAAAATTTTTCCCGGGTAGGTCCATAACTCGGGGATCTGAGAACCTAGAAGGCTGAAATCTTAGGGTGATGTTCCCCGTCCAAATGGGTATTAGTCAGCTCCAACCCACCTCCCGGGTGAGCGTGGTACCTGCGTACGAGCCCGCCAGAATTTTTTCCAGGCAAGTTCATAACTCGAGTATCTGCGAAGCTAGAAGACTGTAATTTTTAGAGGATATACCCTGTCCACCTAAGTTTCATTCAGCTCAAACCCCACTCTCGTTTGTGCGTGGTAAACACGCACGGAACCGTGAACATTTTTTTCCAGTAACTTGCTAACTCAGGAGCCAGGAAGCTAGAAAACTGAAAATTTAAGGGGGTGTTTTCTGACTGTTCTGGCGGCCAGCTTTAATTTGTTTAGCTTGAAGTGTTGGCCGAAAAAGCTGGTGCAATTAGCAACAAAAACTGCGGGGAGCTATGTAAAAAACGCATCTTCGTAGGGGCAGCCCATGCGTTGGCCAATTGTTATAGCTTATTTAGGAAATTTGATTTTTTTTTGTCGATTGAGGGAAGCAAAAGCCTGGAACTACTGTTTGGGTTACGTGTTTGAAGTGAGCCAAATATTTTGAACGTTAAAAGTGATCTACCTCTTCGAGCTTCCGGAGGTATATTTCCGTGATGAATTGATGAGATTTAGCATAATTCGTTTGTGTGTATGTTTGTGTACTTGTGTATGCGTGTATTGTGTCCGTATGTTCGTGTTTTTTTTGTGCTTATTTTTGTATGTTATATCTCTACGTGTGTATGTGCGTGTTTGTGCGTATGTGTCATCGATTTCATTAAGTTCAAGAAATAACTTATTTTTTGAGTACGAATCGTTTTGTCTGTTAAAGTTTTTGTAAGGAGATATTGAATTTTGAGGCTTAAAAGGGATAATCTATGAGATGTACTTATTTTCGCGTCTAAAATGTTCTATATTGATCCACTTCGTTTTCAGGTACTGGAAAGCGGATCACACTTCGAACTGCTAAAAAAGCCGCATAGTCGTTATGCGGAACTTTGGAGATCGCAGCATAAATATGCTGGTGGAGTGCCACCGAAAGTGTCGAAACCTAAGCATGACGAGTTGTTGCTTGAGCTCCTGGACAATCGTCTCGATGATGGCTGTTGCCGTTCCGGCGGCGGTGCGTGTAAACGCTAGCTCAGAGCTACCAAATTTTTCGTCGCTAAATTAGCGCCATCATGTGCTTTTGATGTTACGTTCTGGCACATCTGTTTGAGCAGGATATTCCCTTGGATTAGCTGGAACAGTTGCTAATTCATAGTCTGCTTTTGAATACAGAGCACTGATGTGTGTGTTGAGATTTGGTATTTTTTGAACTTGTTCAAAATGCCTTTTTTCACAAAAAATTTTGAGAGATATGAGGTCGGAACACAAAAAACCGGGGCTAGTCCTGATGCTCGAAAAAGGAAAGTAGAGGTGAGGGGAGGCTGTTTTCGTAATTTCTTGCTGAAAAATAAGCCTACGCTTTATCGCATATAGATGGATTTGAAATTTTGCCAGTTTTCGCGATTTCTA